ACTTTGAAGTTCTCCAAGAGAGGAGGAATCTGACTCGGAGACTGGCCGAAACCTTGTTGGGTTGGGAGAACTGGAGGCTATGATAGGGTCCGGCAACGGACCAGCCTTTATTTCACAAGTAACACAGGTAGTAACCAGGGCTATTGGGGCAAATTGGAAATTACATTGTACTTATAGGCCCCAGAGTTCAGGGCAGGTAGAAAGGAACCATGGAAACTGGCGGGGACTGGGTGGCTCTCCTATCATGTTTGGCAGGCCACCCCCTATCATTCCTAACCTTAAAGCTGACTTTCTTGCTGCAAGAACTATCTCTTTCCTTGAGAGGGCTCCAGAGGGCGCACGAGGACATTTGGCCGCGCCTCCGCGCCAACCCCAACTCCTCATCAGCACAGACCAGGAGATTGGGTCTACGTCAGAAGGCACCGCCGGGAGACCCTCGAGCCACGTTGAAAGGGTCCCTACACTGTGGTGCTGACAACCCCCACCGCTCTCAAGGTAGACGGCATCGCGACCTGGGTCCATCACACTCACATCCGGTCAGCTGACCCATCTGTGATCCGGGAAGACTTCGTCACCAACTGGAGCATCGATCGAGATCAACGCAACCCGCTCAAGCTCAAGCTACAGCGTGTTCGACCTGCCTGATGCTGATAACATTGCTCGCAATCACTCCTGCCACCGGGAGCCCCCACAATACTGTGTAATAGACTTAGATAATGCCTGCATCTTCATGGACATGGCTCCAAAAAGACAAGGACAATTCATAGGAAGGTCAGGAATAGACTTTAGTATCACATGTTTAGTAGCAGAAGATTTGGCTGCCTGAAGCAGCCATGATGCCAATATTATGTTTCATTGTATTGATATGTTATATTGACTTTTAATTCTCTTGCAGGTTTGAATGTATGTTGGCTGTCCTGGAAGGGGACTGTGTGGGGTGACCCTTAAAAGTAAAAGGTGTCTAGCTGCCAAGAGGGCAGGTGCCCAACTGGGCAGGGAAGGGTGCCCATCAGGTTTTGGTCTCTGTTGAAAGACAGTTGACGGTTGGCAGCCTGTATACTATCTTGCAGGCCTGCGTAACCATGCCCATGTCAGGGGTAGTACAAACCTCAACTGTAGAAAGCTGGGAAAGGCCTGTTTAGAATAGAAGGTCTGAGGCATGGTTAGCAATGGAAAGAAGGTTTTATGCCAACAGTTACTGTTTTGTTATAAATCCATGAAAAAGAATTGGCAAGGAAAGTCAGAAAATCTTACAGCAGATCAGTATGTTTTTCTCCTTATGTAATTCCTTCGAAATCTGGCAATGCTAAATAAGTCATGGCAATACATTTCTTTGCATAGATTCAATAAGACTGGTTCCTAATAGTGGTTTTATTAACGGAAAACTTTGACTGGAGTATCATGTTTTAAAGAGCCCTGTCTGAGCTCTAAAGACTTGAAGCCAGTAAGAATGCCACAAAGA